CATGCAATCAGGGATGGAGCATGATGAGGTACCTGCGGCAGAGTTCACAGGTCCTAATGCTCCACTGCAGACACATGCTTGGCCGCCTGTCCGGACGCCAGAGCCTCAAGATGTGACCGAGGCATTGGGACAAGACGTGCCACTAGACGAGATAACGGATCCCCTGGACCGGACCAGAGTTCTTTTTGCTCAGTCCCAACGTCTTGACGCTGAAGGTGACCGGGCCGAAGAATCGTCACGCACCAGGGCCATCGAAGAACGATGGCGCCGCCGACAGTTTTACCTCGACAGCGAGGAAGGCTTGACCAAACCTCCAGGCTACACCGAACCGGATAGTTCAGATGACGACGACCTATCCGAACCCAAGAAGAATGGTCGGAGTGATGTTAGTCCTCGGAGGGCGTCCATGGCGTCGAGGTCTTCGTCCAAGGTTCGCTTTGATGATAGTGCCATCGAGGGAGACTACGAGACACGATCGAATGCGTCGTCTCGGAGTGTTCCTGTCAACGAAAGATGGGGTGGCTATGAGCTAGGCCAGGCCGAAACAGATATTGGTAAAGACATTCTCTACCAAGCTGTGCAGCAGGGGTTCAACGAGTTGCTCGATCTGCTGTTTAAAGAAAAGGAAGACGAGTACATGGAAGCAAAACAGACTCGTGTGGATCGACATTGCTTTGAAGTTGAGAGAGATAGGTTTGACCGGCTGCTTACTGAAATGGGCGTTGCGGATGAATCTGAAGAGGAGATCATTGAGATGTTAAAACAAAGAAGGGAGAGCAAGGAGGAGCAAAAGCAGCCGATCAATGGTGCTGCAGAAGCGCCAAAACAGCACAACGGCGCTCTATTCCCACAGGATTCCGAAGATCATATAGGACTGATGTTCGGATCTCAAGGTCTGCTCCTGAGGCCGGTACAGGCGACCGAAGCGAAAGGACCCTACCGCGACCCGACTCTTCCACAGTTTCGACCTAATGAACCGGAACCACCTAGTCTGGCCTCCAATGTGGTCCCTCCTGCGCCTGCGCTGGACCAGCGGCCAGACCCTTTTGCGGGCGACCCGGCAAAAGCTCTGGAAACGTTCTACCTCTGGAACCATCATGATCATGTCGATGCAGAAGAAGACCGCCGTGGTGGTCCTGGGAAGTTGAGTTTTGCAGAGTTCCAGCGGAAAATGGTGTTTGAAAACGAGGCGTCCAAGGTTTTAGGAGGGAAGAGCAATTGCGACTGCCATGAGACATGGGAGAGCAGTGCAGACCTAGGAAAACTGGCCTTTGTGGGTACTTGGTTGGAAATGGCCAGTTTCTAGGGCATGTTATATCAGGTTGGTGCTGTGGTGGCCTGCGTTTAGCTTTAGACTGTACGACCAACTCCACGACGGGATGAGGAAGCAAAAGCATGATACCCGGCGAGCTTTCTTGGAGGAAAACTCCTCTTGATACCTAGAAGTAACGTCATGTATAAATTGAATCCAAAGTAATTAAGACAATGATTCCTCAAGCCACAGTATGTGATACTCCTGAAGCTGATAGCCTTGGGCAGGGTCGCAGGCCGACGCAAGGCTGTGTATCGGGATGATTGATTTTCCATTCCCGGCTTGGCATTGGATGGTGCTTGTGCTCATCCCTGAACGAGAGACTCGTCTTCCTCTACTGTGACTAACTGACCGTTTGATAGTGAACAACTCCTCTGGATGGGGCAGCCTACCAGCGGCACTTGCTGAAATCAGCACGACAGCTCCATTCCCTTATTTTGCAGACAGCGGATTGGATTGTAGGAATGGCTAATCGCAACGCCGATAGCCCTTCAGATGGCGCCAACTGCGCCCGTGACAACAGCCTGCGATGAGAACGATCGAGAAACAGCCGCCACACCACGCTGCAGGTCTCTGATCTACTCTGCACAGGCCAGGAATACCTAAATACCATGCGCAATCAGATGTCTGGTGCTATGTTGACCGCCGTGAAACGCGAGCGAATGAGGCCACTCCACGAGACTTGGTTCAGAGCTGTGAGTGGTCAGATTCACGCAGGGCCCCTGGGGTTGAGTATCAAAATCCCGTGCCTCTGGCACGCTGAACAATGAGGACAGTGGACTTGTACCGCTCATCTGTACTTGTATTTCCGCTGATATTTTGCGTCGATGGTTTCTTCTTCTTTCGAGTCCCTCTCTTTCGCAGATTGGTTTCTTTTTGTTAGAAAGACAAGTGAGCAGCAGCCCAGCACTTTGCTACAGCCAAGAATGGCCCATCTCACGCATCCTTGGGTGGCACTACGGCGACCGCGGAATCTCAAGAGGCAAAGGTGGATCGCTGGGGTCGGCCTTACAGGAGGTGTGCGGCAGCACTGCAGTTGTGGGAAGCCACATTCTCGAAATCTTGATCTGTGTCTTCTATTCCCTCGACACAGATTCGGTTCCAGCCGTTTCAACACCGTGTTTCTGCTGTTGTTCCGACTATTTTACCACGCGTCTTCCTTTGAAGTCGCCCACAACGGTTACGCCCGGAGACTCTACCTGCCACTTCTACAAGAGGCCGTCTCCAAGCCTTATGAGGAAGAAGTCGGCAACGAGAAGTCCCTTGTCGTCCCCACCAATCAAGGTCTCCCCAACTCGTTCAAGACCTTCGAACGCTTCTCGACCAAAGCATGGTTAGAGACGTTGCTGCAAGACTCCGCCGAATACAAGAATCTAAAGGTCAATTCGATCACGTGGATCAAAGCTCTTGCCTCGCCGTTTTCTCATGAATTCATCCAGTTCATTGTCGAGGATTCTGTGAGTGGTCAACGTACACGGGTCGCCGCTGGCCGAGAAGAAACTGGAGACTGGGTCCTCGTCGGCTGGAATTGGGCTTCGGGAAGCACACCATCTGATCACTACAAACTGCCGCTGCCACTCCTGACAGTCACCTTTGATGATGCCGACAAGCGACCGGACTTACAATCGCTTGCTCACGTGCTATCCGCAACCACCGAGAAACACCCTGCTTATAAGTTTCGCAGGGAAATGTGCTGGTGGTATGCTGAGACTGTGTTGGAGGTGATGCACGAGCAATTTGGAGGGAAGGTAAAGGAGTGGGAGTGGTCGAGGTATCGGTATTCGTTCATCGTCAAGACCAGCTTTATCAGGCGCAAGGTCCTGACGAAGCATGCGGAGCTGTTCAAGCGGCAGCTGGCTGAAGAGATGAGTTACTAGGATCGCGTGAGGTTTGGATTTCGCATTACTGGGTTGGGCATTTTCATGGCTTTGGAGCGGGACAATTGCATTCATTTCGGAGGTTCGCACATTATGAAGCGGAAACTAGACGCATAGATATATCCTACCGTCGTCCGACGCTAAATCATAGAACATAGAGCCAGAATACATCTGCTGGAGGACTCGTCTAGCGTGCCTTGCGTGTCTGTTCACAAGGCTGCGCCAGGCTGACGCGCCGAAGATCAGCCGCTTCCCCATCATCATCCGTCGTGGCCTTCTCCATCCATCCCACTTTCAATCCAACTTCAGATACACTCTCGCAACGCAGCTCTTCCGCTCCCACCCCTCGTCCTGACAGCGATAGTAGAGAGTCACTCCTATCGCCCCCCCCCCTCCAAACATGTCCGGCCCAGAAGTGCACCATCTCTTCCACCACCCCATCGCAGACCATTCTTTCTCGGCCGACCGCCAAACTCTCGCCGTTGCACGAGAAAACAATGTCGAGCTGTACCACCGCTCGGGGCCCAAGTTTGCGTTGAAGGATGAATTGAAGGGTCACGATAAGACCGTGACCGGCGTGGACATTGCCCCCAATAGTGGGATGATTGTGACTTGTTCTCAAGGTGAGAGCGCCGTCTCTTGTGGCCCCGTACAGTTCACCTGCGGATTTGACTGACCGCCCTCGTGTTTGTCCCCCTCCGGATAGACCGCAACGCCTACGTCTGGGAACCTGCGCCGTCGGGCGAGTGGAAGCCGACGCTGGTGCTCCTGCGCATCAACCGCGCCGCGACGTTTGTGCGCTGGTCCCCCTCGGAGAAGAAGTTCGCCGTCGGGTCGGGGGCGCGCGTCATCGCCGTCTGCTACTTTGAGGAAGAGAATGACTGGTGGGTGTCGAAGCACCTGAAAAAGCCCATCCGGAGCACCATCACCACGGTGGCGTGGCACCCGAACAGCGTGCTGTTGGCGGCCGGCTCCACAGACAGCCACGCCCGCGTCTTTTCCGGCTTCATCAAGGGCATCGACGAGCGCCCGGAGCCGAGCGTCTGGGGGGAGAGGTTGCCCTTCAACACCGTGTGCGGGGAGTACCTGAACGACGCGGCGGGCTGGGTTCACGCCGTGTCCTTTTCGCCGAGCGGTGACGCCTTGGCCTTTGCCGCCCACGACAGCAGCATCACCGTCGTGTACCCCAGCGGACCGGACCAGCCGCCGAGGGCGATGCTGAACATCTCGACGCAGAACCTCCCCTTCACCTCGCTGATCTGGAACGGCGAAGCCGAGATCCTCGCCGCGGGCTACGACTGCGAGTGCTTCCGCTTCCGCGGCGGCGAGCAAGGCTGGGAATTCGCCGGCAGCGTCGAGATGCACAAGCGTCCCGGCGCGGGCGGCGGCGCCGCGAGGGAGGAATCCGCCCTGAACATGTTCCGCCAGATGGACCTCAAGGGCAAAGTCAAGGACGACACGCAGTTGACCACCACGCACCAGAACACAATCAACACCATCAGGGCCTTCGAGGGCGGTTCCAGGGGCGTGACAAAGTTCAGTACCAGCGGTGTCGATGGGCGGGTTGTCATCTGGACTCTTTAAGACATTGGGACCTATCAACCTTTGAAAGGTCCTAGCTACTACTACTACCACTATGGTACCACTATGGTGGTCTACGGTTGTCTATGAGAAAAGACATGAATGACAGAGGGTAGAACCTGGTAGGAAAACAGCTGCTCTGTGATAACAATTCCTTCTTCTACCTTCCTTCTCGTGGCTAGATTGACCCAAGTTTTGTTAGTACTGTCGACAGAGACAGACCTGCTCAGTCAATAGCCCCCGTTCACGTCGTGAACATCATTAGGTTGCCCTCCTGTCACTTTTTCATCTGTTGTTTGCCTCGTCTCCTCGTTTTCGGATTCGGTTTCTTCGCTGGACTCATTCGACCCACTCGACCGTCCTCGACGAACCGCCCCAGTCTCGGTCTCGGCCTCGGTCACTGTCACGGTCGTTGTCGGTTCCGATTCGACGTCGATTGCTCTCATGCGCAGGGTAAACTCGACCTGCAAGCTGCGCAGCCAATTCCTCAGTGCGTCTGCGCTGGCCTCGCCTTTGACCGCGACGTCCCTCGCGTGGCCTAGCCGCTCCTTGACATGGAGGACGAGCTTCCTCTTCCTGGCCAGGGCGGTGGCGTGGGGATTTCTCTTCCTCGCCTCGTTCCGCTCGTGCAGAGCCTCGGAGACACGCGTGGCCATGTCGATCACGTCGCCAGGAAGGCCGATGGCTCTGGCGAGGGCCAGCCCGTAGAACTTCTCTTCCTCGTATCCGTCGGCGATCTTGTACCGCATGGTCATCTTGGAGTAGTCCTCGCTGATGTCCGCCGAGAGGTGCAGGTTGGCCACGCCGGCGCGGTCGGCCAGGATGCGCGGCAGATCGCGAAAGTGCGTCACGAACCAGACATAGGCCTTGGAGTCGATCAGTGCTTCAGCAATGGCGATCGCGATGGCCAATCCGTCTGTCGTGCTGGTGCCGCGCCCCAATTCGTCGACGATGACCATGCTGCGCGGAGAGATGTTGCGCAAGATGAATGCCATTTCACGCATCTCAGAGGCAAACGTGGAGACGTTGGCCTCGATGTTGTCGTCTGTCGAGATGCGGGCAAAGATCTCGTGTGACAAGGGGAAGGAGGCGTACTCTGCGGGCACGAAACAGCCAATCTGCGCCATCACAGCCATCAGCGCCACAGAGCGGATGTAGGTCGACTTGCCGCTCATGTTGCATCCGGTGATGATGTGGAAGCGGTTTTGCAGCGTGGCGTACACGTCGTTGGGCACAAATCGGTCGTATTGGTATTGCGCCTTTTCGCGAATCGGGTGGCGGCCGGCTTTGATCATGAACGAGTCCGTGTGGACTTCGGGTTGGACATACTCGTGCATGGATGTCGTGACGAGTTGGGCGAAGCCCGCAAGCATGTCGAGCGTGGCGATGGACTCGCTGATTTTGAAGAGGGGATGGATTGTGCCACGGACTTCGTCGATGAGCTCTTGCACCGTGGCGTCGGACAGGCAGATGACTTCATTGTGGGCGTCCTTGATCTTCTGGTTCATCTTTATGAGGTCCAGTGTCTGGCATTCAATGTATTTGTGCTTCTTGTAAGTGTTGATAAAGGTCTCAGGAACAGAATTGTCCTTGACCTCACTGGCCGGAAATCGGAGGTAGTATTGTCTGTCGGTGTCGTATCTGAGCTCGACGGAAATCTCAACCTCTCCTGTAAGGGGTATCAACTTGGCTTTCCACAAAACAGACTGCACATACCTTTGAGGCGGTCGAACATGTCGTTGACATCCTCGCTGAGCTCCTTGTATGCCTGACGAGCGACGTCGAGGAAACTGTTGACACCAGCCTGTTTTAATTAGTTGGCTGGCAAGACACTTTTGCCTACCATTACCTGTATGCCGTAAACTCTCTGATTCCGCAAATCAAGGGGTTTGGTTGAGTATCGCACATCAACATTGAGACAACGTGCGAGCAGATTCTCCACTTGCACGTAATTTCCGGGGTCACAGAGCTTGTACGAAAATCAGATCTACTAAGCGATCAAATGGGTTTCAAAGTCACCTGGCGAATCATCTGCAGCTCCTCACTGTTTGCGCCAGCAAGAGCCTGCCAGACCGGTTTGACCCCATCCACGAGCGTCTTGAGCATGAGAACGTTGTTGATTGACTGTTCCATATAATGGAAATCTTGTCTTGTCGACATGATGGCAAGCTGCATGACTTAGTACTGGGAAAGTTGGACATTTCGATAACGAACCGTGGTAAGCACACGGTCGGCATCAACGAATGATTTCAGGGCTGGCCCCCGTTAGCAGGTTCTTCGCATAGAAAAAGACCTAGTACCGGTTCGAACTGCAAAGAACATGTCCTCCTTGGACGTGAGCTCGCCAAGAGCTTGCTGCCTCTTTCCGATCTTTTCCGCATCTGTTGATGGTTGTAGGACATTGCTTCGGAGGAATCGAGCACCCATTGGTGTCAGTGTTTGGTTCAATAACCCCAGGAGGCAGTCTCGAGATTTGTCGTTCTGGAGGTTCTGAATCAGTTCAAGCGAAGCCATTGTGGAGAGGTCGATCATGGTCGACCCTTCAGAGGGTTCGAATTTGATGCGCAACGTTTGCGGAGCGAACGTCAATTCCATTGCAAGACCGATGTACTTCATCGCCTGTATCTGTTAGAGACACGCAGAAGAAATGGCGACCACCTGCAACATACGGCCGAAAAACAGCATGTTGCAAAGTAGTTTCCGGCAACAGACAACTTCAACGACTCCAGATCGTCCGGGAACGCCAGTTGATGCACATAGTCATGACCACTAGTTTCAGACCAGTATCTACGCTCGATACCGGTCATGGCGATGTCAAACTTTTGTACTTCGAGGTTCTCGGCAACAATCGAAATGAGTTTCGAATCTTCAGCAGTCTTCATGTAAATGATCTCGGAGGGGGCGAAGACTCTGATCTTGTGGCACGTGCGAGCGTAGGTTTGCGTGTCAGTGAACTGGCAGAGGACTGCTTCAGAAGTGGAAATATTGACAAAGGAGAGGCCGATGGTAGGAGATACGCCTCGGGACTCGCAGATTGCACAAATGATTTCATTGTCACTGTAGCTGGTGGATGTTGCCACGGTTCTGGGACGCGACCTGCTACCTGATTGGGGCCTAGAAGTCGTGTTCGTTAGCCTTGCGGTCAGGGTGTTTCTGCCGCTAGAAGCGGATGCTCGTAGCGTGGATGCCATTATCATCAAGCTACCAGACGAGTGACTGAAAGATGTCAAGATGCGTACGAGCACACGAGAGGCAGGCTGGCAGGGCTGGTAGGCTGAAGGCTGAGGTTGGTGTTGGAGGCGTGGCCGGGAGAGGAAGGTTTGCCGCATATTTCCCCCGCACGAGGCTGTGGTCCGCTATCATTTCTGCGTCCACCACAATTTTCTGCGTAGGAGCCTTGAGCCAGAGATCAGGGTCATTTTGTCGCACAGAGCCAGCATGGCCACCTTGGCGCCGCCTCCTAGCAAGCGGCAAAAACTCGCTGCTGAAGAGAAGGCAGAAAGAGCGCTGGAGGAGTCAAGAGTTCCAGACGACTTGGGTAGTGTGAGAGTGCAGTTTGTCGATCAGAGCACGGGAAAGTCAACGGGACCGGTGGTCGCGGTGCCTGTGAAAGATGCCACTGTCAAAAACCTCGAGACACTTCTGAACAGTATACAAGGCAATGTATGAATACTGGATGAAGCAGAGACTTGCGCTCAGATTACTGAACTTGTTTAGGATCCTACTGAGCGCCTACCTTACCGCTTCTTCTTCCAGAATGACCGAATTTCGAGTTCCCACGGACCTGTGGGAGCCATTGTTGATGTGCAAACTGACCTGTACAACTCCATTCTCAAACCCGGTCTGAAGACCACCGAAGACAATATCATCCTCCAATTCACACCTCAGGCTGTATTCCGCGTCCGCGCCGTTTCAAGATGTTCTGCGTCAATAGCAGGGCACGGCGAAGCCATCCTCGCAACTGCGTTTTCACCAGAGACATCGTCTAGAATGGCCACGGGTAGTGGGGACAACACCGCACGGATATGGGACTGCGACACGGGAACACCTCTGCATACGTTGAAGGGGCATACAAGTTGGGTACTTGCGGTGTCATGGTCTCCTGATGGCAAAATTCTTGCTACTGGAAGCATGGACAACACCGTGCGGCTGTGGGACCCAAAGACAGGAGAGTCCCTGGGTGGGCCATTGAAGGCACACACGAAATGGATCACAAGTCTCTCGTGGGAACCATACCACAACCAGGCACCAGGAAAGCCTCGATTGGCATCGGCCTCCAAGGACGGCACAGTCAGAATTTGGGATATTCCGCTGCGCCGTATCGAGCAGACTCTTTCCGGGCACAAGGGATCGGTTACCTGTGTGCGGTGGGGTGGCCTCCATCGTGTTTTCACCGCCTCCCAAGACAAAACGATCAAAGTATGGAACTCGCGAACGTGGAATTGTCTACACACCTTATCGTCGCACACTCACTGGGTCAACCACCTCTCTCTCTCCACTGACTTTGCCCTTCGAACGTCTTTTCACGACCACACGGGAAAAGCCCCGTCAACCGCCGAAGAAAGAGTTGCTAAAGCAAAAGGGCGATTCGAAGAGGCTGCGCGTCAGGACGGAAAGCTGGTCGAAAGACTCATCTCGGCATCGGACGACAACACCATCTACTTGTGGGAACCGTCTTCCTTTGACCCAGACTCGAAGGCGACCCCTAAGCCCATTGCACGCTTGTTGGGCCACCAAAAACAAGTTCTGCATGTGTCCTTTTCTCCCGACGGCCACTACATTGCCTCGGCCAGCTTCGACAATAGCGTCAAATTATGGAACAGTCGTGACGGCAAATTCGTCTGCACCTTGAGGGGCCACGTAGGCTCTGTGTATATGTGCGCATGGTCAAGCGACAGCAGGTTGCTGGCTAGTTCGAGCAAAGACACCACCGTCAAGGTGTGGGATGTGAGGACGGGCAAGTTGAAGATGGATCTGCCAGGACACAAGGACGAAGTATTTGCCTTGGATTGGTCTGTGGATGGCGCCTGTGTGGCTAGCGGTGGGAAGGATAAGATGGTCAAGCTATGGAAGCATTGAGTCTGCTTCCGGATCGGCACATCTCGATTTGATAATAGATTTGCCACGAAATATTCAATGGTTTGGGCGCACGGGTTCTATGTGATGGTCGTTGAATGATACCCACGAAGAAAAAAAGGTGATGGTCAATATTGGATTTCAACAACATATGTGCAATGTTTTTTTTTTATTCTGTGAAATCTGTATGATTCTGGATTGTTACAAGCAACCATCGCCTATACCACCAATCCACCTGTGGTGGCCATCAGTTTTTGTTCCCCTGACGACAAAAAAACCGTACCGACATCTTCCGCGAGCTGTGTTGGTCTACCACCTCGGCCACCTCTTACATTCTAAAACCGGGCTTCTGTCCAGGAGGATTGTAGACGATCTTTCTCGTCTTGATGGGAGCCCACTTGTATCGCTTGATCCAGCCACTCAGGGCCAACAGGGCAGTGCCGATGATCAGGACCTTGAAACCCATCTTCTTGCGTTCATCCATTTCCGGTTCTGCAGTCCAGTTCAAGAACTCGACCACGTCTTTGGCCATTTGCGAGCTGGTCGCGGGCGTGCCATCCTCGTATTCGACCAATCCGTCGTACAGAACACGAGCCATTGCGATGCCAGTGCCGGGGAAATATGGGTTGAAGTTGAGACCAGATTGGACGGTCGCACCCGCAGGCGGTTCCTCCGGGTAGCCGGTCAGTAAACTGAAGATGTAGTTGCAACCGCCATGACGGGCCTTGACCATGAGGGATAGATCCGGAGGAAGGGCACCATTGTTGGCGGCACGAGCGGCTTCGTCATTCTTATACGGGTCGGGGATGTAGTCAGACAGCTTGCCGGGTCGTTTCTCGATCTCTCCTTCGTCGTTGGGTTCAGTATCGTACTCGTTCTCTTCGGCCATCGCCTTGGCTTCGTCGACGGTCATTATCGTACCGACCAGTGACCGATATGGGATTCGCTTGAGAGAGTGGCAGGCGGCGCAGACTTCCCGGTAAACTTGGAACCCTCTTCGGAGACTGCCAAATTGTCAACTCAACACGCTCGACAATGTGGTAGTGGGAGCTCTTACGAAGCGTGATCAAATGTTTTTGTCCATTTTGTGTGCTCCCACGGATATTGGGTTGGGTGTAATCTGGAGCCCGTCGTCAGTCGCTTATAGCTCTCCATCGCTTTTTGGGAGCTTACCCCTCTTCTGCAGGAGTCATGGCAAAGACATCTTGACCGAACAGATGGTAGTACCAGGCAATCGAGCCAACTGTTGCTGCCGTCGCAGCTGAAGCGCCCAGTGTAAGGTAAAAGGGAGAGGAGGCGGCTTCGGAAGCACTCGACGATGCAGCACGCTAGAATTCAACGTCAGTCCTAGATCCATTTGAAGTATACAATCGCGCTGTTGGAATATACGGAAAGAATGGTGGACTGACAGTGGTGGTCTTTCGAACAATGGTTCGGGCGGCGACCCTCAATGGGGCGCTGCGGACGGCCGACGTGGCCAACATCTTGTCCAGAAGCCTTATGCTCTCGACAGATGGTGGACTAGCCGTGCAAAGGCGTAGAGGAGAGGGCGAGTCGCGGGGGGTGCAAGGGGAAAAGAATGACTTGAGAAGATGAGAGGATGTCCAAAGTCGAAGCTTGAAGCTACATTTTCCGGGGGTTCATTAGGTTCGCTGTGATTGGCTGGCACTCAATCTTCAAATCCTGGCTTAGCGGCCAGAGCCGTCATGCGCACGTGATCTGCCAGCGAAGCGAGGTTCGTCACTTCTCGCCGTCGATTGCTCGTGTAGATACAAGACGGCTCGACGGATCTGGTTGAAAGCTCAGACAGACAACTCCCCTCGTCCTTGCGGCACCGACTGCTGCAGGGCGTGATGCCGATGAGTGAAGCAAAGAACCCCTCTTGGAATGACCAATTCAAGAGCACGAACCAGCGCGACTTCAACACCCAAGTCATCATTTCGGTCGTCTTCGGACTGAGTGCGTTTCTTTCCTTCTGCGTATGTCGTCCATATTTCCAGTGCTTCCCCTTGGATACTGACTACCTCCAGGTCCTTCGCCCCAAGTGGACCAGCCTTTACCATGCGCGCAAGAAACATTCGGGCGCAGCCTCGCGTCTACCCGATTTGCCGAAGTCGATGTTCGGATGGATTCCTGTCCTGCTGAGGATTTCGGACGCAGAGGTTCTCGCCTCCGCCGGTCTCGACGCCTACGCTTTTCTGTCCTTCTTCCGATATGCCATCAAGTTTCTCTCCATCACCTTGTTCTTCTCACTCACCATTATCCTACCGGTGAACTACAGGTACACTGGCGAACTACCCTACCCACCCATCAACGGCACGGCGCCATTCTTCGAGCCTACATTTCCCTATGCCGACGATGAGAAGAGACCCAAGAAGCCCAAGATGGAGAAGGATGACAGCTATCTGTGGATGTATGTCGTGTTCGCCTACTTTTTCACCGGAGTGGCTGTGGCCCTTTTGATTGTTGAGACCTCGACTATCATTCGAATCAGGCAAGCTTATCTCGGCACTCAGTCCACCATCACCGACCGGACTCTACGCTTGTCGGGCATTCCGAGCGAAATGAGGTCGGAGGAGGCAATCAAGAACTTCATTGAGGATCTGCAAATCGGGAAAGTGGACAGCGTCATGCTCTGTCGGAACTGGCGTAATCTGGACGAGCTCATGTCGAGACGCATGACATGCCTGCGCAAGCTGGAACAATCATGGGCAACGTATCTAGGCCACAGCCACTCGTTTCGCCATTCTCGCCGAGCTCACGCGGAACGTGATCTTCTCGATGACGACGATGAGAGCGGGGCGCTGTTATCACGTTCGGAGATGGAACGAGCTCACTCTACCCCCGTGGGCAGGAAACGGCCAACGGTCAGCCTTCGGTACGGGCCACTCAAGCTCTACAGCAAGAAGATTGACGCGATCAATTACTACGAGGAGAAGCTGCGGGTTATGGATGAGAAAATCAATGCCCTGAGAAACTCCGAGTTTCGCCCCACACCTTTGGCCTTTGTTACCATGGAATCGACCGCTGCATGTCAAATGGCTGTGCAGGCAATTCTCGATCCAAAGCCCGGGCAGCTCCTTGCCAGCTTGGCGCCGCCGCCAGCCGACGTGGT